GTGAAAACAATGAAATATGTTTTTCTTCATCAGAGGAATAAAATGTTAATGAATGCTAACAGCCTGGGCTGGTAAGAGGGTGGCAAAAGGGCACCCTGGTGTCATGCTTCTGTGGGCAGGGATGACTGCAACCTTTTGTGGAATTAATCTGGCAATATCTAATGAAATTCCAAATTTGAATACCCTCCAACAAGCCATTCCACTTTGGGGAATTTATGCTCAGAAAACAAGCACTGGTCTCTAAGGCTAGATAAGCAGCATTGTTTATAGAGACACAGAACTGACACAGAGTATTCTCAGCAAGAAAAGAACTGAATAAATTATAAAAATTCATACTATGGACCCTTATGCAGTCATTAAAAATAATGGGAATAATAAGAATAATAAATTATGGCTGGGAATATTTATTATACACGAAATAAAAGAAAAAAAAGAAGCCACGGAGTAAGGTGTGTAGTATGACCTCTTGTAAAGATTATTTAAAAGAAAAGAGACATATTCCACACATATACATAAATCCTAATATTTTTGTGATTGTAAAGGAAAGTATGGAAAGGTCACATGAAACAACATCATCAATGCAGGTTACCTGTGGGTACAGAATTGGGATGGAAGAAGGCACTGTCGCCATTTTCTTTATACCCTTCTGTGTTTTCAGTTATTGCAACAAGCATCTGTTGCTTTTGGAGTATAGTGTTGCTTTTAAAGGAAAAAAAATACATACACACACGTGCATAAACAGTCAGCTCCTAAGGGCTATGTCTGGCTATGTCTTTATCAACACGGGTAACTGGCAATGTGGATAATTCACAGGGTACTTATTTGTCGCGGATGTCCTGGGCATGAAGAGAACGTCAAAGAAAAAGAATGAGGCTGGTCTATCAAAGGATACCTACTCAAGACCTCCACTAGTGCCAGAGGCAGCACTGCAGATTTCCTTCCCCTCCCCTTTAATTCCATTTTTAATATTTTTTTATTACATATACTAACCTGTTTAGTCTATTCTATGATATAAGGTTCACTTTTTAAAAAAAACTGAACTCGATGATCATTTAAAAAAACACACACAGCCCTGGTAGTCTTCTAAACTGTTCATATAGATCATCATCTCTCAAAACGGGCCAAGCATTTATCCCCTGGGGAAGTCAGCCCACCCCTAATTTCCAACTGGATGGCAGGGACCCAGAACAGGACCACCATTTGCAGGTGGTTCTCAAGTCACTGAAACAGCAGCCGCTCCCTGGCCAGACCTGCCGCCCCTTCCCGTTTCCAACCTTGCCAAGGACCCCCCCAGCCCTGTCCCCGATCCTCAGACTTCCTCAATTTCCCTAATTTCATGCCTCCCCAAAGTGCTCTTGAATCATCACCTTTCTACACATATTTTGTGCTTTTCCTAAGAAACAGGTGTGTCCTCCCTGTGGAGGCTCTACCTTTGACCCTTTACACCTGCTCTATTCCACCCCCCACCCCCCATCAGCCTCTGCCTGGGGGGCAATTAAGTCTAATGGCTAGGACTGTGGCCTCACAAGTCAGAGCAACTAAGTGCAAACCTGCGTCTTGATTGCTGCCCTGCTCCGAGGTTCATCAGAACCATTTTTTTTTTAGATTCCATATATATGCGTTAGCATACGGTATTTGTTTTTCTCTTTCCAACTTACTTCACTCTGTATGACAGACTCTAGGTCCATCCACCTCAGGGAGATCAGCTCGGTGCTTTTTAACCCCCAGAGGGGTGGGACAGGGAGGGTGGGAGGGAGGCGCAAGAGGGAGGGGATATGGGGATATACGTATACAGACAGCTGATTCACTTTGTTGTACAGCAGAAACTAACACAACATTGTAAAGCAATTATACTGGAAAAAAGATGTTAAAAAAAAAAAAAAGTGCAAACCTGACATTGGCCAGGTGTGACCTTGGGCAGGCATGAAGGTTAATTTTATGTATCCACTTGACTAGACGAAGGGGTGCCCAGATAGACAGGAACACATCATTTGGGGGTGTGTCTGAGAGGGTGTCTCTAGAAGAGATTAGCACTGAAATCAGCAGACTGAGTAAAGAAGGTCACCTTTATCCACGCAGATGGGCCTCATCCAAGCCAGTGAGGGCCTGAGTAGGACAAAAAGGCGGAACAAGGGCAGAGTCACTCTCTCTGAGCTGGGACATCCATCTGCTCCTGCCCTCGGCCATCAGCACCCCGGGTCCTCAGGCTTTGGGGCCAGGCTGGGAATTACACCACGGGCCCTCCAGTTCCTGGGCCTTTGGACTTGGACTGAATTATACCGGCAGCGTGCCTGGGTCTCCAGCTTGCTCATATGTATTTATTGGTTCTCTTTTTCTGGAGAACCCTGACTAATACAGCAAGTTCCTTAATCCCTCTTCACCTCAGTGGACTCTGCAGAAGCTGCCAGGACATCTCAGGGCTTAGGCCTAGCCCTGGAGACAGCCTTAGTTCTGCTGCATCCCACTGGCTAAGGCCAGTCAGAGGTCCAGTCCAAGTTCAAGTGCAGGGAACTGTGCAAGAGCAGGGGCGCCAGGGGCCACAGACGAAATGTGCTATCACAGCACGAAAAACACTCAGCTTAACGCCTGGCACACGGTACGTGCTCAATAAATGTAAGCCATTTTCTTGGGTATTGTTTTTTCTTCAATAAAGGAAAATTATTTTTACAATGGTTCTTCACCATGGACACACCACAGAGAAGGCCTAGCAACCTAGACAGTGCTAAAGACTCCACACCTCTTATTTCAGGAAATGCAGAGGAAACACAGGGCAGCCCTAAACCACGCAGAACAGATTTTGGTGTAAAGCCGGCCATCTTAGTCACCATTCGTAAAAGAAAACTATCCTTGCAAAGTGGCTTCCAGGTCCAGGCTGGCAGGCACATCCATGGCAAGGGGCCAGTGTTAGCGCCGAAAGCCACGCCAACATGCAGACCTGTCCCAACATCACTGGAACCAACCACCATGTCTGCAAAGGGCAGAGGTCATATGTAAAAAATGGTATATACTGTTTGGAAAGAAGTGTAAAGGTGCATGTGGTAGATTCAGTTTCAAGAAAGAAAACTAGCACATGAAACAGTGGGTGTAAAGAGGCGGGGAGCAGGACGTGGACGGAGAGCAGAATCTACAACCTCTAAAACGTAAGCAGAGAATGTTGTTCACTGTTGTCCCCAGAGCCTAGAGGCACGTCTGCACACAGCAGACACGTGTGGAATTATTCTGAATCGCAGGAAGTTAGGACTAATAGGTTATAGCTGTGGAAAGGAATAACCATGAATCACCCAAACTGAATCCATGGATTACATATTTATTTAACTCTTTAGACTAAAATGCAGTGAATGTACATTTTTCACATAAACAGCTTTTCTACCGTTTTTGACGAGTGTTTTCCCTTTTAAGTTTATTATTAAAAGGCAGCTCTTTTTCCACGCCCTTTGAAAGTGCCAAAGCCACATAGCTAGGACTAGGTGGAGAAGCAGAGGCCCAGGGAGAAGCCAGGAAGAGAAGCTCATTTACCAGTCTGCCACCTGTAGGCCGCTCCAGCAGACACAAACTCGCGCCCACTAGACAGACCACATGGAAACAATGCATACTAAATCATGCTAAAAACTGAGCTACAGAGGTAGGAAGACTATACAGGGGCCCGTTTTAATCATGATTTCTGAGTCTTGCTTCCAAACCCCTGTCTTTGATTAGAACACTGCGAGCTATGGCCTAATTAGCTATAGCTGATGTCCTAATCAGCTCTCAAAGACTCACCCCTGGTCTGAAATAAGCTTTGAAAATTAATACCCCCATTAGGATGAACCACCATACCTGTATCGATCAGGGTGTCACAGAGTCAGTTCTGCTCAGATCTCATTTTACCAGCCGGGCATCGGACTTAGAGAACAAAGGCCATTACAAAAGAACAACAACAACAAAAAGCGAAGCTGGACAGAATTTTTAAATTTCAAAACTCAACAACAAATAGCAAACATTCGTTACAAAGGCTTGGTTTCGATTTCTGGAGATGGAACTTAAACACACTGGGTTTACAGTTTAAACCTATAAGATGTACTCCGGCACCAGAAACCAAATGTAGTTACAGATGTCAAGAGTTCGCAGAATAAGTGCCTCTCTTCATAAAGACTATCTGCTCTGCATCGATTATTACCGTTTCCATATGTCCGTTCTTTACTAATACAGGAAAATACAACTTCAATCAAAAAATACCCCCCAAAATTAACTCTTGGAGACAATCATTTCCTTTAATGGGATTTCCTGGTGGTTTTGCTCCTATGGAGGTTTGTCAGCCACTGGATTCTCTAATTTGGGGGTCAAAATCCTGAAAATCGGTCACCCTCGCGGAAGCTCACTGAACACGCCCCCCGACGCCGCCAGCATTCGCTCGCCCAGGCCCGCCGCCCGCTGAGCTCGCCGGCCCGTTCCCGCCAAACGCGGGACGCGCCAAGTCCTGGACGCCAAGCGGGTGGGCGGCCAAAGCGGGTCCGGCCGGTTCCCGCCGCCTCGACTGACCCGCGACCCGACGCGACGCGCCCTGCTCCCCAGTGCCCGGCCAGAGCCGCCGCGGAGGCCCCGCGCACGGAGCCGCGGCCCGGCACCAGGCTCGCACCCCTGCTCCCGCCTCGCTCAGGGCCGCCCAGCCCGCCCGGCGGGTCTCCGGCCCCCGGGAAGCCGGGGGCCCCAGGGCGCAGCCGCCCGCCTCGGAGCGCGCCCGCCGCCCACCCTCACCCGAAGGCCCCTCGGGTGGTCGCGGGCGCCTGGCTTCTGCTTCCTCGAAGAAAAGTTACTCCGGGACCAGCGCGATGGGAAAGGGAAAGCCACGCTCCCAGGGCGGCGAGCGGTGAGTCGGGTCCCCGGAGTTATCCTGCCCGAGTTTTGAACCGCACCCCGGGCTGCGGCAGCTCGCCCGGGCGCTTGAGCCCCGAACCTGGCGCCCGCGGGTTGGTGGGCTCGCCCCCCCCGTAGCCCCGTGCGCGCCCGACGCCGACACTCACCGAGAAGCCGGCCCAGAAGGGGCAGGAGTGGCGGACGCGGGCCGAGGTGGTGAGCGCCAGCGCAGCGAAGCTGACGGCCACGATGAGGCATCCGAGCGCCATCTGCGTGGCCCCGAGCGCCAGCACGATGCGAGAGCGGCCCGGGCACTCGCGCAGGCGGGACAGGCTGCGGGGCAGCGCGGCGGGGCGCGGCGCGCGGAGACCGCCGGCCGGAGGCATAGCGCCCGCACGCCTCTCCTGCTCCCGTCCGGCCCCGCGCGCCGCCCCTCCTCACCGAGGGTCCGAGGCAAGTTGCTTCAGCTGCGGGGTTGGCCTCCCCGCGAGCCGCGGGGGCTGCGACGGCAGCGCGCTGGGAGCGGGCCGGGCCGGGCGGGGAGCCGGGCACCCGCAGCCCCCGCCGGTGCCCGCGCCCATGCCGCCGCCGCCGCTCAGCAGGGCCGCCCGCCGGCCGCGCCGCGCTGCGCCCTCTCCCGCCCGCCCGGCGCGCTCCCCAGCTCAGGCGCGGGAGCGAGCCGCCGCCGCCGCCTCTGTCCCCGGGCGCGAGCCCCGCCGCCGCGCGCGGGGCCGGGGCCGGGGCCGGGCCCGGAGCTCCAGCTGGGCCCGAGCGGGGCGGGAACGGGCTGGCGCAGGTGTGGTCCCAGTGGCTGGGCCTCGGCGCTCGCGCCCCTCGCCGCGGAGGGGAGTGGGGATCGCGGGCGCTTCAAGGGCGAGGGCGGCAGGCGGAGCCCCGGGCCAGCGGCGGGTAAGGGGCCTGGGAGCCGGGCCCGCGGCCCGGCCGCGCCATAGGGGGCGAGCCGCCGCCTAGCCTGGGGCAGGCCCGGGGCGCCGGAGGGGCGTGCGTGGCGGGGCGGGGCGGGGGTCGGGAGGATGTGAATTCCGAGCGCTCCGTCCCAGGTGTGGCGAGCAGGAGCCGCTCTCGAATGCGGAATTCCAAGATCCAGAATTTCTGCAGTTCCAGAATTTCTCAAGGCACCACTGAGAACTCGGCCCTGGAGGGCTCGGCATTTAGAATATTCTCAGCTCACGAACGGATGTCTCTTGCCCACTTTCCATTTGCAGGGCTTTTGATACAAGTAAAAAGTTGGGGCTGAAAACAAATTGTACAAAACGAATTTAAATGAACTGTATCATGAAGGACCTACGAAATCGTCTCTACTCCCTTTTGCCCGTATTAGGTTTTAAACACCTGACTGTTGGCTTCCTTAGGGTACCAAGAAAGCTTGGAAGTTTTGTCACAATTCACCTTGTGGCCCTGTTGATGTGACCACTTTAAGACTGCCAGTGTTGAAAAGGCTTGTGTTGACATGAGAGGCCCACGAGTGTCAGGCGACCTAAGGAGGTTAGACACAAAGAGGCAACGTTCACAGTAATAATAGTGGGAAATGGTGGGTCAGTCTTACACAGCCTCAAGGCGGGACTGAGGGAGTCCGCCTGTTGATCTGGATTGGCGACACTGCAGCGTCTCGCCCCAAAATATTTCAGTTGCTGTGATGGAAAATTACATCTTTAGAAGAGATACTGATTCCTTTGGGGCTGATGAGCCTCTATTAAAATGCAAATTCCTCTTGAAGGGGCAGTAGCTCAAGCCTTTATCAATCAACACCTGAGCAGGGATGGGATTTATTTTCCAATTCAAAGGGATGGCCCAAGGATGAACAGGTGTGGGAATTCCACAGGTGAAGTGGCTGACCTCAGAACGCTGGCCTGTGGCCAAAGCTACTCCTCCTGCAGTTCTTACCTGTAACAGGACTGAGCCTCTGACTGGCATGGTTCTGAGCACTGGAGTACAAATTCAAATTTCCTGGAGACATTCTCTATCTAGAAATGTGCAGGCCAGCACTTTTTAAGGGCTTGGAATTATACCAAACAAGATCCTGGACTGCCAGGAAGTTAGGTTCTCACTGTAGTCAACTCACTCATTCATTCATTTATTCATTTCTCCAACAAAAGATCACAAAGGGCCCTCTAAGCACTGGGCCCCCTTTTAGGCTGTCAGAGAACATGGGTGAACAGAACAGCCAACCCCTTGCCTTCCAGGGGCAAGGTGAGAAACAGATAACAAGCATAACAAATAAGTAAGTTACATAGAGTTTATTGACATTATGTAGTATTTTTAAAAATATGTTAAACACTCACCGTGTACCAGACACTGAGGGTGTAAGGATGAGCAGAAGCAGACCAGCTTCCTGTACTCAGAGACCTTTCAGTGTAGTGGGGAGACCAGCAGCATATGGATAATTGCTCCAAGGCCAATTGCAAATGGTTCAATGTTACGGAGAATTCTACACGGTGCCAAAAAACAGATGATAAGGAGCTTTGGAAAGAGCTTTCTGACCACAGTATAGAAAATGGATTAAGGGATCCCCAAGGGAATGTAGAGAGATGAGATGCTGTTGCTGTCATGGAGGCAAGAGGTGACAGTGTTTTGGATTAACGTGGAGAATTGGATGGATTTGAGGCTGTATGGCAGGTGTCAGTGGTGAATTAAACATGGACTAAAAATATAGGGGGCCGCCAGTTGACACACCATGGGAAGAGTGACCAAGTGTTGGAAACCTCCAGTGAACTCCCATTTACGTATTAGATGTGCTTCCAAAATACATGTGAATCAATTCCTTCTATTTATAAATGACATGGAAAAAGCTCCAGGCAGCGCAGCAGGGGATTTTGGTGTAGGTGGGTTAGGATAGGGATCTACCTCCTTGGTGAAATTTGATTTGGGGGCTGACGGAGAGACTGATCTAGAAATTTAAATTACTTTGCTCTTTTAAAAATCAATTCTGTATTTTAGAAAATCTTAAAGTTCTGTCGTATTAAATGCAATAAATAATTAAGGTGAGTCAATTTCCTAGAAGTGAATCATAAAGAAAGGAAGGAGGGAGGAGGGGAAAGGGGAGGAGAAAAATAGGGAGGGTAGGAGCTGGCAACTCCTTGGCCCTCTTTGCTCCTCAGTGCTTTTCTCTTGTGAAAGGTTGTAGTAATACATGTCCTAGTGTTATGGGAGATTCCTGGAGACCCCTGGAACCACCTTATAGCAACTTTTTCTTCTCCCTAAATCAGATAAGACTAATAGACCATTGTTCTTTTTTAAAAAATTTTATTGAAATATAGTTGATTTACAATGTTGTGTTAATTTTTGCTGTACAGCAAAGTGACTCAGTTATACATATATATGTATATATTCTTTTTCATATTCTTTTCCATTATTGTTTATCACAGGATATTGAATATAGTTCCCTGTGCTATATAGTGGGACCTTGTTATTTATCCATTCTGTATGTAATAGTTTGCATCTGCTAATCCCAAACTCCCAATTCATCCCTCCCCCACCCCCCTTCCCCTTGGCAACCACAAGTCTGTTCTCTATGTCTGTGAGTCTGTTTCTGTTTCATAGATATGTTGATTTGTGTGGTATTTTAGATTCCACCTGTAAGTGATATTACATGGTATTTGTCTTTCTCTTCCTGACTTACTTCTCTTAGTATGATAATCTCTAGGTCCATCCATGTTGCTGCAAATGGCATTATTTTATCCTTTTTAATGCCTGAGTAATATTCTATTATATATATATATATATGTATATGTATGTGTGTGTATATATATATATATATATATATATATCACATCTTCTTTATCCATTCATCTGTCAATGGACATTTAGGTTGTTTCCATGTCTTGGCTATTGTAAACAGTGCTGCTATGAACATCGGGCTGCACGTACCTTTTCGAATTGTAGTTTTGTCTGGGTATTTGCCCAGGAGTGGGATTACAGGATCATATGGTAGCTCTCTTTTTAGTTTTTTGAGGAACCTCCATACTGTTTTCCATAGTGGCACCCACCAACAGTGTAGGAGGGCTCCCTTTTCTCCACACCCTCTCCAGCATTTATTATTTGTAGACTTTTTTTTGGCGGTACGCAGGCCTCTCACTGTTGTGGCCTCTCCCGCTGCAGAGCAACAGGCTCTGGACGCGCAGGCTCAGCGGCCATGGGTCACGGGCCCAGCCGCTCCGCGGCATGTGGATCTTCCCGGACCGGGGCATGAACCCGTGTCCCCCGCATCGGCAGGCGGACTCTCAACCACTGCACCACCCAGGAAGCCCTATTTGTAGACTTTTTAATTATGGCCATTCTGTCCAGTGTGAGGTGGTGCCTCATTGTAGTTTTGATTTGTATTTCGCCAATAATTAGTGATGATTAATGGGGAGCAGCTTTTCATGTGCCTGTTGGCGATCTGTATGTCCTCTTTGGAGAAATATCTGTTTAGGTCTTCTGCCCATTTGTCGATTGGGTTGTTTGGTTTTTTACTATTGAATTGTATGAGCTGTTTGTATATTTTGGAAATTAAGCCCTTATCGGTCATATCATTTGCAAATATTTTCTCCCAGTCCGTAGGTTGTCTCATTATTTTGTTTATGGTTTCCTTTGCTCTGCAAAAGCTTATAAATTTGACTGGGTCCCATTTGTTTATTTTTGCTTTTATTTCTATTGCCTTGGGAGACTGACCTAAGAAAACATTTATGTCAGAGACTGTTTTGCCTATGTTCTCTTCTAGGAGTTTTCTGGTATCTTGTCTTATGTTTAAATCTTTAAACCATTTTGAGTTTATTTTTGTGTACAGTGTAGGGGAGCATTCTAACTTCATTGATTTACATGCAGCTGTCCAATTTTCCCAGCACCACTTGCTGAAGAGACTGTCTTTTCCCCATTGCATATTCTTGCCTCCTTTGTCGAAGATAAATTGTCCATAGGTGTGTGGGTTTATTTCTGGGCTCTCCTTTCTGTTCCATTGATCCATATTTCTGTTTTTGTGCCAATACCATGCTGTTTTGATTACTGTAGCTTTGTAGTATTGTGAGACCATTGTTCTTAAGCAAAGAAGGTGGCTGAGCTTTTTGTGAAAGGCAAGCCTCACGCCTTCTTGCACAAAGGGGAGATAAGTAATTCTGATGCCTCCCTTACAGGCCCCTTGTTCCAGATTCCTGCTCTTTTCAACATATACCTCTCCATAAATGGATGAGAAATGAACTTGTCCCTTTGTGTCTCCTATAAGACAGAAGAAATTTGTACTTGGATCTCACAATCCCTACCTCTGGAAAAGTAATAATCAGCAGAGAACTCCTCTTCCAGGAACAGCAGGCTAGCAAATTCTCCTGCTGAAGACAACTAAGAAGCCAAATGAAATATTTTTTAAATATGTTTTTTTAAAGCATCAAAGAATTATGGGGGTAATGAGAGAATACCAGGCCAAGATCTAGGAGGAATCCAGAGAGTTATGCAGCACTTGGACAGCTTCTGCCCTGAGCACTTGCATTCTGGCTCTGGCAACCACACAGGGTTAGAAAGATGAGTTTTGAGTCCAGGTCCCTCCAA